GTGTCAGCACTGCTCCTGAGGGGAGCATGCCTCCTCTCCTGTTCCAGGCAGCACAACAGTCCTTAATGCCACACCAGCACTGATTCTGAGAGAAGAGGTTCCCACACTGAGACCCCACCCCAGGCCCTGTATCACAGCACCCCCTCCCACCATGTGGGGGCATCTGTATTGATTGCAAGGAGAAGGTTTTCACTGCAACCTATGCCACCCACCCCTTGCAAAACCTCTACCCTGTCTCCCATCTAAATCCTGGCCAGACTTAATGCTGGGGTGACCAGCTCACAGCAGTCTAGCAGTTGGCTCTTTCTTTACTACCCTCCCAAACAGCAGCAAGAGGTTGCATAAAAAGGGCCCTTTCATGGCTGAGTGGTTCTTCCTGCATCCCAATCCCTAGCAAAACGCAGGACTATGTAGCACTTTAAATACTAACAAGATGGTTTATTAGATGAGGAGCTTTCGTGGGCCAGACCCACTTCCTCAGACCCTAGGCCCCTCTGCAGTCAGAACACCCCTGGTTTCGTAACTTGGACTGATTCTGTTTGCTTCAGAGGACAGTGTGTGCCCCACAACCTGGCACTCGCACAGGCTGTGTTGAAAGGGCCACAGTTGGGTAATACTCTTGTGCACTGTGCAGTTTGCGCACAGTATGTCCCAGGCGCTGAGTGTGCGCAGAAGTTGTAACCCCTTGTGCCCTGCAGTGCTGCTCAGAGGCAGGGACATTCCAGGGTTGGGCAAGCGAACGTGCTTTGACAAAGAGGTAAATCACAACCTGGGAAAATACCAGCTCAAGGAGGAAGCATTGTGGGAGTCTGGTTCTTCCTGGCCAGGCTCTCTCCTGGCTCAACTGAAATGTCATTTGCCATCACAGAACAGCCCAAGGTGTCCACCTTGTTTCCTTTTCCTCCCTTCTAACACGATGCCAACGTGGGGTCCCGGCTGGGGCCCATAGGCACTATTTCAACATTGCAGCAGCATTTATCATTGGCGTTGCAGCAGCACCAACAGCCCCAGCTGAGATCAGGGCCCCATTGTGCCAGGCGCTGCACAGACCCTGACTGAGATCAGGGTCCTGTTGTGCTGACTGCTGCAGACACAGTGACTTTCAGGGCCCTGTTGTGCTGACTGCTGCAGACACAGTGACAGTCGGCCCCTGCCAGGATAGTTTCAATAAACAAGGCAGATACACAAATATTTCCCCCATTTCACAGATGGGACATAAAGGCCCAGAGTGGTTCCATGATCTGCCCACATTCCCACAGGGTATCCAAGCCAACCATAACTCAGGGATTCTCCAGCCTCATTTTTCAGTTGAAGCTGGTCACCAGGGACCAGGATGGTACAAGGACGTTTTGATCTGAAGCATCCTAAGGTCAGCAGAGTCCCAGTCCAAATGATCAGCCTTTCACACATGTACTGTTATAAGTAGGAGACTGGGTGTCAGGACTCCTAGGTTTATTCCAGCTCTGGGTGGGAGTGATGTCTAGCAGTTAGAACAGGCAGGCTGAGAGCATGGCTGTGGTTTGTTGCCTCAAGAAGATGTAAGGCCACTAACCCCAGCTTGCTAGCAAGACCAGCGACCATTCACAGCAAAGGCCTCAGGAAGCAGTAACTGCAGCAAGGGGGCCAGAGGGGAATTTCCCCCAACTTCCCATTTTGCAAGTTCCTGAACTCCCACTGAGTAAACAGCCGCCGAGGTGGGGGCCAGAGCGTCTGGAGACAGCTGTCCTCTTCCGCGGTGCAGGCTTACATAAAGCCGGAGCAGACGGGTGGACAGCAAAGGGCACAGGTGGTGAACGTGACTGCTCTGTGGTGCCTCCAGCACGAATCCTCGCTTGGTCAGGGTGAGTAGAGGCTCCGGCAGGGATGGGGGACATGCTGGGTGGAAGGGGCAGCTCAGCGAGAGGATACAGCAGGGTGCCTGCAGTGCAGGTCTGGGGGTGCCTTCTGAGCATGGCTGCTCCAAGGGAGCTGTCCCTGGGGCCTTCTGCTGAGAGGAAGGAGCAAGTTACTGCCAGCTGAGCTGAGCCCCCTCACACTCGTTTCTCGTAGGCTCCTGGGCAGTTGTTGGGTACTGCCAGAAGTCACTGCCTTGGAGAGGGAAGCTACTTGGTTCCCCATTCCCCCAGCTGCAGTGCCCTGTACCCGATTCCTGAGGCAGCAAGTATATGAGGGAGGGAAACGCACACACAGCTACCCTGGAGAGCCTTCTGGCTTTACTTGTGCCTGCACCTTACAGCTCCAGCACACAACAGAAATTGCAAATCAAGTGTCCTCTCAGCTCCCTCTATACTCACTCATCTAGCACCATGGGAAAGAAAGAAATCACCTGCTCGGGACCCCTAGATCTTGCATCCCTCAACCTGCTCAATGCCGAGATCCCAGACAGATCCCTTCCACCTTCATTATCTGCATCCAAGTAGTACTTAAGAGCGCCAGTCATGCACAGGGCCCCCTTGTGCCCAGTGCTTTACAAACACCTTCCTTGAGATCCCTTCCAGCCCATGCAACATCAGCTACTAGCTCCACTGCCCTTAGGATGGCCCTCTCACTCCACGTTCGACACAAGCTCAGGTTCTGTTAGAGACAGAGCTGCTCAGAAAATGCAAATTATCTTTATTTTATTGCTTTAATGTTCCTATAGAAAGTTCTTGTTTCTTTGATGGAAAAAAATGAACCAAAAAGTGGTTGGGAGCATTGTTTCAGTTTTCCATTAAAATATTGTTTTATTGCTTTCATAACACAAAGGCTGTGGCTAGACTGGGAAGTTTTTCCGCAAAATCAGCTGCTTTTGCGGAAAAACTTGCCAGCTGTCTACACTGGCCGCTTGAATTTCCTCAAGAACACTGACGATCTCATGTAAGAAATCAGTGCTTCTTGCGGAAATACTATGCTGCTCCCATTCGGGCAAAAGTCTTTTTGCGCAAAAGCTTTTGTGCAAAAGGGCCAGGGTAGACAGCTCAGATTTGTTTTGCACAAAAAAGCTCTGATCGCAAAAATGGCGATTAGGGCTTTTTTGCGCTCTGTGCCAATTAGATCAGCACGGATGCTTTTCTTGAAAAAGTGCTTTTGCGGAAAAGCGTCTGTGCCAATCTAGATGCTCTTTTCTGCAAATGCTTTTAACGGAAAACCTTTCTGTTAAAAGCATTTGCGGAAAATCATGCCAGTCTAGACGTAGCCAAAATGTATTACCCAAAAACATATTGAAGACTAAAAGCTGATTTTTTAAACAAAAAGATTAATACATTTTACCCAAACCAACATTATTTTATTTAAACATTTTTCAGTTTCCAGATTTTTTTTTTTATCAGACAAGTGGAAATTTTTCCATGACATGAAAAATGTCAACAAAACACTCAGATTTAGACAAAAGCCATTTTGTCAGGGAAACAATATGTTTTGACAAAGGATCTTGCCAGCTGTCATGTATGGAGACCCTTCTTGTTGTCCCAGCTACAGGCAGACACCTTCAGTCTATGGGATTTATCTTGCAGACCATCACAATGGTGTCTGCGCACCTGCCAGCTAAAATCAATAGCCATAGACCAGTCCCCTTTTAGATTTCTTGCTGTCTCTGTATACCGCTAGTCCTTTGGGTGGGTTGTTACTAGTAGTGGGAATCAAACCTGGGATTTCAAGCAGGCTCCCTCAAGAGAGAGGCACATTTCTAGATTGGCATGATTTTCCGGAAATGCTTATAAACTCCCTCAAGAGAGAGGCAAATGCGTCTAGATTGGCATGATTTTCCGGAAATGCTTATAACGGAAAAGTTTTCCGTTAAAAGCATTTTCGGAAAAAAGTGTCTAGATTGGCACAGATGCTTTTCCGCAAGAGCACTTTTTGTGGAAAAGCATCTGTGACCAATCTAGACGCGCTTTTGCGCAAAACAAATCTGGGCTGTCTACACTGGCCCTTTTACGCAAAAGTTTTGCGCAAAAGGGACTTTTGCCCGAATGGGAGCAGCATAATATTTCCGCAAAAAGCACTGATTTCTTACAGTAGGAAGTCAGTGCTTTTGTGGAAATTCAAGCAGCCAGTGTAGACAGCTGGCAAGTTTTTCCGGAGAAGCGGCTGATTTTCTAGAAAAACTGGCCAGTCTAGACACAGCCAGAGAGTTTTATTATACCAGTAGCAACCTCATCAACCAGCCATGATGAGAGGGAGCTAGTGTACTACCCAGAATGGGTGAATTGCACCTGCATCTAGCACCACCAGCAGGCACAATACAAGTGTCCCATTACAAAAGGGGGTACGGTGGAGTAACACTGTTCTCACTCTTTGGTAGGTGCCACCATGCGCCGGTTCTTTTGGCTCCTGGCGCTCTGGTTGCTGAGCTCTAGTCCTGCCCTGGCTGATGTTCGGAGCTGTCATGTTTCCGTGGCCCAGTCTTTGGTGATCTCTAGCTGCCAAGCTCAACTCCATGAAACGGTGCCAGAAATTGATTCATCCACCGAGATTCTTCTGCTGAATTTCAACCTCCTCTCCAACATCTCAGCCTCCTCCTTCCCCAGGTTGGAGAGGCTGAGGAAACTGTCTCTGGGATATCAGCTGGGGGGATCACTCTCCATTGGAGAGAAGGCTTTTGAGAAGGTGGCCAATGTCACATTTCTGGACCTTGGGGGCAACAGGAAGCTGAGCCTCCATCCCATGGCTTTGGCCGGCTTGCGGCAGCTTGAGGTGCTCCTGCTGGATGTCAATGGCCTTGATGAGGCTGTTCTGGAAGGCGGCTATTTCCAGGATTTGGTGTCCCTCCGAAGGCTGGATCTCACAGGGAACCAAATAAAGAGGCTGAGACCTGATTCCTCTTTCCAGGGCTTGAAGCTGCTGACATCCCTCCATCTGCGGTTGAACAAGATCAAGGCAATCTGCGGGGAGGATCTGACCCACCTTGGGGGACAACACCTGTCCCTCCTAGATCTCTCGTCAAACTTGCTGTCCTATAGAGACCCTTGGTACAACCGCACCTGCCCCAGTCCCTTCCACAGCATCACAGTGGAAACCCTGGATGTCTCCTCCAACCCATGGGATGTGGGTGGTGCTGAACGGTTCTTCAAGGCCATGGGGGGTGCCCAGATACGGCATCTGAAGTTGCAGCACTCAGGGGCCATTGGGAGGGGCTTTGGGTTCAATAACCTGCGTGGCCTCTCTGCTTCCACCTTCTCAGGGCTCATCCGTAGCAGAGTCCTCTCCTTGGACATGTCTCATGGCTTCCTCTCCAAGTTGGGCCCTTTGATCTTCTCGGGTCTGCCTGAGCTGAGAATGCTGCGCCTGGCATCCAATCAGATCCACGAGATCCATGGGGAGACCTTTGCTGGGCTGCAGCACCTCTGCACCCTGGATCTCTCTCACAATCTGCTGGGGGAGCTGAAGACGGAAGTTCTCCAGCGCCTAAGCCAATCCCCACTGCTGCACCTCAACCTCAAGTCCAACCACATTGGGGCCATCCAGCACAATGCCCTGGAGGGACTGAGAACTCTGAGGATGCTGGATCTGCAGGACAATGCCCTCTCACGCATACCGCCAGGGCGACTCCCTGCCCTGGAGCGCCTGCTGCTGGGCCAGAACAGGATCAAGCATGCCTGGGGGATTGGGAAGCTTTCCACAAACCTGACCTTCCTCGACTTGTCTTCCAACCGCATGCAAGACCTCAGAGGCATCTGGAACGAGCTGAGGGGCATCCCTACCCTGCAGTTCCTGAACCTATCACACAACCTGCTCTCAACGTGCTCTGAGCACCAGGACAGAGCCACACCCAGGCAAAGCCAGCTCAGGGTGGTGGACCTTTCCCAGAACTCTCTGAATATCGTCTGGAATTCAGGGGGCTGTGTGGATGTCTTCCACCATCTAGACAGGCTGATGATCTTGAATCTCAGCAGAAACAACCTCCAGACTTTGCCTGAGGGTCTATTTCAGGGACTGGTGTCTCTCCAGGCTCTGGATCTTTCTGGGAACCTCATAGCCTTGCTCCCAGACAGGTCGTTCCAGGACCTGCATTCCCTGCAGGTGTTAGGGCTGCAGGGTAACCACTTGATGACTCTGTCACCGTCTGTTTTTGAGCCGCTCCATGCACTAGCATTCCTGAATCTCCAGGAGGTCTCTCTGCTTTGCCACTGCAGCTTGCTGGACCTGGAGGCTTGGCTGCACTCCACCAACCTGACCCTGAGTAGTAAGAAGGAAGGGATCACCTGCCATGTGCCCACCCCTCCCTTCCCAGAAATGCCCCTCCTTTCCTTCATCCACGGCAGCTGTGTCAAGTAGCATAGCCCGCGCTGCGTCCTTTCCCCAGCACAGGATTCCACCTGTGTGGCTTTTAAGCTGTACCATATGCCATGCGCTTGGCACAGACAACGATGCCCAGTCCCCTTCAGTCGTGAACCAGTTTCCCAAAGGCATAAACACAGCCTGGACTAGAAGTCAAGGCATCTGGGTTTGACTCTAGGAGTAGAGTCTAGTGGTTGGAAGGATGGGGGAGGGGCGGGGAGGGGAGTTGAGTTCAGTTGTATTTCTAGTTCTGGGAGTGAGGGGGCCTCAGCAGAGAGCTAGGAGTCAGGCTCCCTGGTTTCCAGCTCCAGGAAGACAGGGAGATCTAGCGGTTAGATCAGGGGCACTGGGAGTCTGGATATTCTGTCCTGCCCTCGGCTGTACAGCAATTCTCCTTTGCCCATTTTGCAGTAGAGGCACTTGGAGATTTATTAAAACTTGGGTGTATTAAAATACTCACAGTCATCAGCCCTGTTCCTCTAATGCCAGCAGAATAGGTTGAAATCCCATACTAACGTACAGCTCCTGACAAGGTAGGGGCTATGCTTTCTCAATTCTGGAGCATTATGGGTATGCTGTGGACATTAGGCAGGCTCCGTTTAGCACAAATGCAGGTTCAGTCACTGGCTACATTCCAGTGGGATCGTGCCTTACCTAGAGAACAAGGTGTGATTTTTAACATGTGTGAGCCCACATCTGTTACTTAAACCTGTTGGCATGTTCAAATCATAATGCAGCCCAGGTGAGCTGCAATTTTAGCATGTTAGTTTACCAAGGTAAACCCACAATAATTTTGTCTATACTGGGGTTTGAATGTGTTAAAAACACACCTTTTATCCTTACTTAGACCTAGGCAAGCGTTCACCCAATGGGAGGGCTGGTACTGGTAATTACTATTATATTGTGTTACTGTAGGAACCAAGTCAGAGTCCTCTGGTGCTCCATGCTTTACAAATGCAGAACAAAATGCCCCTGCCCCTACTTCAGAAATGACCCACAAGGCAGCATGCCAGATAGAGACACAGGGGGCACTGCTACACTTATTCACATTGCAGTGTGCTGTTTGCTGACACAGCCTTCCATGGTGAGACTGTACGGTTCTGGCAAAGACTGTGCTACTGATATTGGAATAGCTGCAGCTGTATGGTGGCAAAAATACTGTTGTCAAAACTGTTGAGAGTAGATGTGGCCTGAAATTGCAAGCTCTTTGGGCCAGAGACCATCTTTTGGTTTTGCATGTGTAAGCACCTAGCACAATGGGATCCTGGCCCATGACTGGGACTCTAGAAACCATCACAATACACAACAAGATTAATGATAGTGTTTATAGACGTGATTGGGGCTTTCAGCCGGGAGCTGGGTTTTTGTATGAGTGCTGTTTCCTTGATTAATGATAGTGTTTATAGACGTGGTTGGGGCTTTCGGCTGGGAGCTGGGTTTTTGTATGAGTGCTGTTTCCTAAACAGTCTCACTGAAAAGCTGTGTTGATTTTTTTGTTGTTATCTTTGCCAATAAAATTTCAAATTAATTCATGCAATTTTAGAAGAGCATTTATTGAGAACTGGGATGTGCCAGGGGCTGCAAGGACGTGGGAGTATAAGGTAGGGATGTTAAATATCAGTTAATTGAATAGTCAAGTAACCTCATGAATTCTTATCGGTTAGTCGACCGACTGAACATAAGATTGGCCATACTGGATCAGACCAAAGGTCCATCTAGCCCAGTATCCTGTCTGTCAATAGTGGCCTATACCATATGCCCCAGAGGGAGGAAACACAACAGGTAATCCTCACGTGATCCCTCCCCTGTCACCCACCTCCAGAGAAACAGAGGCTAGAGATACCATTCCTACCCATCCTGGCTAATAGCCATTGATGGACCTAACCTCCATGAATCTATCTAGCTCTTTTTTTAATCCTGTTAAAGTTCTAGCCTTCACCACATCCTCTGACAAGGAGTTCCACAGGTTGACTGTGTGCTGTGTGAAGAAAAACTTCCTTTTGTTTGTTTTAAAGCTGCTGCCTATTAATTTCATATGGTGACCCCTAATTTTTTTTATTGTGGGAATAAGTAAATAACTTCTCTTTACTCACTTTTTCCATACCAGTCATGATTTTATAAACCTCTATCATATCCCCCCTTATTCTCCTCTTTTCTAAACTGAAAAGTCCAAGTCTTTTTAATGTCTCTTCATATGGGACCCATTCCAAATCCCTAATCATTTTTGTTGTCCTTTTCTGAACCTTTACCAATGCCAATATATCTTTTTTAAGATGAGGTGACCAAATCTGTACACAATAGTCAAGATGTGGTCATACTATGGTTTTATATAGAGGCTATAAGATATTTTCAGTCTTATTCTCTATCCCTTTTTTAATGACTCCTAACATTCTATTTTCTTTTTTGATTGTTGCTGCACACTGAGTGGATGTTTTCAGAGAACTATCCACAATGACTCCAAGATCTTTCTGTTGATTAGTTGTAGCCAAAGTAGTCCCCATTATATTGTACATATAGCTGGGATTTTTTTCCAATGTGCATTACTTTACATTTATCAACATTAAATTTCATTTGCTATTTTGTTGCCCAATTACATAGGGTATGTCTAGACTACATGCCTCTGCTGACAGAGACATGTACATTAGACATACCGACATAGTCAATGAAGCGGGGATTTAAATATCCCCCCCCCTTCATTAAAAAAAAATGGCAGGCTCAGCTGATTGTCGGCACAACGTGGCAGTCAAGACGTGGATCGATCAACAGGGAAAGCCATTGTCGAATGATCCCTTATGCCTCCACTGGGAACACGCTCCACAACCGCGGTGAGGCCTCTCCCAGGCGGGGTGAGCACTGAAAGATGCACCGGTCGGGCCGGCTGGAACAGTCAGTCACAGGGTGTTGGGGTTTCTAGCTCCAGGGAGGAGGTGCTGGGAGCACTGGGGCATTGTGTGAAATAAGCTATTTGCATGTATCTGCAACCACACGGTATGTGCTGTGAGGATCATTGTGGCTTCCCAAGTTGAGTCGCCCTGCCCTAGAAAAGCGGTGGCAGCTGCAGGGAGCCTGTGCAGAACCAGCCCCGAACGGCACCTCCCTTCTGCTGCCTCCTTGCCCTCGCAAGCGCCTCTCCCAGCTAAGGCAGGAACGGTGAACCCTGCGCTCCCACACTCCAGGCCCGCCCATGGCCCATCCCAGGCAGCTCCTGGGACGAGCCACTGCCATGCGCACGGCGCTGGGCCAG